ATTCATTTATGCCAAGATATTTGTAAGGCAGATCCATATTTGTGCCAATTCCAAAGAAAGGTAATCCAACAGAATGTAAATATTAACAAACAGTATCATTAATATCACATACAAGTGAAATGTTACTGAAGATAAAGAAAACAACAACAACAACAACAACAACAAAACCGGTTGCAGTATATTAGCAGGGAACTGCCAGAAATTGAAGCCAGATTCAGAAGAGGATATGGAAGGAGGAGTATCATTGCTGATCTCAAATAGATCTTGACTGAAAGCAAAGAATACCAGAAAGATGTTTACCTGTGTTTTATTGACTATGCACTGTGTGGATCATAACAAATTATGGATAACATTGCAAAGAATGGGAAATTCCAGACACTTAATTATGCTCATGAGGAACCAGAGCTCTCTAATGATAGTTCTGATAATCTTTTTAAATGGTGTTTTCATGTCAAATAGTCACAATGTTGGATAAAAATTAGCTTACTTTTATGTACTGCCTTCTTTTTTTATGTTACAGGATTTCCAAGACTCTGTTGCTGTAGGTTAACACATGCAGTACAGCAGTAGGAATGGTATCTTCACATCTGGAGCAAATTTCGATAGTTAACATTATAATAAAGGTTGAAGAGTAACTATGTTTCTAAATGGTTTAATGCTAATTAGGGTAGTTATTTGCACTTGAGAAGTAGTTGCAAAATAATTACCCTCCCTACATTATATGAAAAATAAATTAGAAAAAATTTACAAAGTAGTTGGCTCTAATCTTCTTAGACAAAGGCATTAACACAAAATGTTATTTTTGGTATTCAGAGAAAATATATCCATTCATTTATTTAACAAATATTTGAATTCCTATCATGTACCAGCGATGGTTTTAGATAATGGAGATACAGCAGGGAATAAAACAGACAATAATTGCAGTCCTTGTTGTGCTTCCAGAATAACTGTGTTTGCCTTATTCTTCCCAACTGTGTTAATATTTTAGAAGTGAGTATTTGGACAGTTGTGGCAGAACCGTATGTGGCCAAACATATGTTTTTCTAGTCATCTGCATGAGTTGGTAGAGTCATTGATGACTTCTAATTGCTTATGGAAGATGATATCTTTTGGTCTTATTGCTGCTTATATAATTATAGCTTAATTAATCTGACCAACAAAACAATTGAGTATAAATTAAATTCAGCTCTTTTAATTCTTGTCTTTTAAAATATTTTGTTCACTTTGTTACTCAAGAACTTTTATAAAAAATATTTTAAATTTCTGAAAGGAACAGCTTTCCTTTTATACTTTGTATGGTCTTTGGTTCAGAGCATAAGATCCGATAAAGATATGGCAATTTCCCGCTGGATTTCAATGATGTAGATAGCCAAATTAGATGAATAAACTGAAACATCTCACCGGGGCTTGAATTATCTTGCTGAAACCATGAATTGAATATAGGAATGTAAGAAATGCCATACTAAATTAAATCAGTTGTCCATGGAATATGGTACTTTATAGAAAAGCATGGTATTTACTCTCCATGACATTGATCTACCTTGAATATTTGTTATATTCCCTTAGTAATACATTACATATCAATTTTCACAAATCAATTTTCTATGAAGACCTTCTCTGATCTCATTTCTATTTTCAGCAGTTCTATCTCTTCAGTAATGAGTTTATTACCTCTTGTGTACATTTCACTTCTGTGTTCCAATGACTATGTAAAATTTACTTTACAAAAATACATACTAGAGTACACTATAGTTTGGAATACATGCTTAACCTATCCATTTCTTTCTTTGATCTTATTCTTTCTCACTTCTTACCTTTATCATTTCAGAAAACTGATTTTATGTGGGACATTTTACATCCTCTCATCCATTTAAAATTTGGACCATTTCCTCTGTGGCATCTTTTTTTTATAGAGAGCAATGAGAATTGGTCACACATTCCTAAGGAGAATAGTTACAGTGTTGTTTATGACTAATACTTGTTTTATTACCATATGAGGATGATGAGTTCCCTGTTGTTGTCCTTATTGTTGCAGCAGCACATTCAATCATTATTTTGAGATAATGTGCCAGATATTACTTTGCTTTCTCTCCACTACATTTTGTACTACTTCACAAACACAAATCCTGATAATGCTTTTTACCCTGCTACACATCACATCTACCACCCGTCTGTCAGTTTGTCATACTGAGGTGGCCTGCTTTTTTTGCTATGATACTGGAAGCTGTGCTGCCAGTATTTCAAATACCAACAGAGTCACCCATGGTGGGGTTTCAGTGGAGTTTTCTGACTGTAGCAGACTAGGAAGAAGGACCTAGTGATCTCCTTCTAGAAACGAGCCAATGAAAACCCTATGGATCACACAGATTAGTGTCAGATATAGGGGTGCAAGATGACCTCCCTAGGTTGGAAGGCACTCAGAATGCACCCTGGCCACAGCAATGGACTGGGGCATGCCAGAAATCGTGACAATGGTACAGGACTGGAGAAGTTTTCATTTATTAGTACCTGAGGTTGCCATGAGTTGGAACAAACTTGGTAGCAGCAGCTAATAATGACAACACACTTCCCATATTGAGTGCAATATACCACCCTACAAGCACTGAATAATTATGCATACTGATAGTACTTTTGGACTCTCGCACTTTTAATATTCTTTTAACTTTTATAGGCCAGTATATTAATTTGTAGTTGTTAATTCATTCTCTTAGTAGTTCTCTTCAATTCCATCAATGGAACCATTCCTTAGATGTCTGTATATGTGTTACTCCCTGCTTCTCTTGGTAAAGTCTTCCATTTACAGAGAGAGAAAGATTATATTTGTCTTCACAATTCTCAACTTCTTCTTGCCAGTTTTTTGCCCTTGTGCCTTTTAAAGCTTGGTCTTAAGTAATTATAAGTAAATTAAGGTGATAATTTCATATCAATAAATTCAAAATTCATTTTGATTTATTATGGACTACTGACCAGAAGCCTGGCGATTCAAACCCACCAGCTACTCCTTGGAAGGAGGACTGGATAATCTACTTCTGTAGAGATACTGCCTCAGAAACCCAAGGAGGGGTCGCTATGAGTCAAATCAACTTGATGGTAGTGAGTTGTTTTTTTTTTTCCCCCTAAATGTCAAAAACATAATTTTTGCATATACATAAATCTGGTAAATTATAAGCCCCAAGTTCTTCTTCTTTAAAATGATTTGTTCCAGTCTTCTGAATGTTTAGTTTTTACTCTGACTGTGAAATGAATTTGAGAACACATTAATCTGAATACTTAATTATTCCTTCTGTAGCAAAGTTTTTCCTGAACTGTATCAAATGATACATTAAAGTAATATCCAGCTTTTAGGAACACATATTGAAGTTAAATGTAGACTTCAGAGATATTACTTTCTTTAAACATACAAGTGATCATTAATGGTTTATACACACAGAAATATTTGCACATTCACTGCTTCTGTGAAATATTCCAGAAAAAATCATATCTAGGGCTTATCTCACTAGGATAGTGTTTTATAAAATTCAGTTTAAATGGATATTAGAGGAAGCGAGACAACATAGGACACTGTGACTCCCTGGGGCATCTTCTTCTTAAAATATACATTTTCTAGGGTGCATGTAAAGAACCATTTTGCCCTATGTGTGGAAGAAGAAATTCAACTACTTGTTCCTAATAGTGCTGGAAGAAGAGCCACCTAGGTTGGAAGGCACTAGATAATAGCTGCAACAGTGAACTCCAGTGTGCCAGCAGTCATGAGGATGGTGCAGGATGGGCAGTGTGTCATTCTGTGCTACATAAAATGACCCTGAGTGGGGAGCCCACTGGGTGGCAACTTAACGACGACAAATATGTTTACCCCCAGAACCAAGTTCTACAGAGTGTCAAGAGTGGGTCCCTATCCATTATTTGTGGAGATATGTATCCACTTGGGAAAAAAAAAAAAAAAAAAAAAAAGGAGACCAGAACCAGAAGAGGAAGAATTTTTGTTTTTGAATGAAGCCACTTTTTTTGTTTCCTAAATTTCATAGAACACGCTGAAGCTTTTAGAACTACCTCATGTGGTTTCTAGCCTGACATGACACTCGCTAATCCATGGTATAATGACATGTGCAAATGATTATCAAGGAACCCACACAAGCTAGTTCCTCTGCTTTGTGAGTGACACAAATAGAAAGGTTTGGGCAGAGGGGAGAAGGACACTGGCACTTGGCCTTCCCCTCCGAAGAAGCCTGGGCACTTTCTGCTCAGCCAACAGTTCTCAGAAGGATGTCATTGAACTTCCACTTTTCACACACTACAGATCTCTGGGGAGAATGATGGCAGCCGGGAAGGAATTTGGGTAAGTATTTTTCACTCTGGTGTATCCATGTGACCTGACTCTTATTCTCAATTTAGTTACATCTTGACCTGGAAAATGCAGCCAAAGTTTGGCTTCCTTCTTTTGGCTCACCTTGATTTCACCATAGCCAAGTCCCTCCTTCCCCACTCCCACCCAGGAAGCCTCTTCCTCGCATCCTTTGCAGCCTCCCGGTGGAGCCTTTCTGTAGATGTCCACTCACGGCTGTACACTGTCTCTCACTCTAGGGGCTTTACTTGCCCAGAGAATATGGATTCGGGCCCCTGAAACACACACAAAGAACAGCATCAAAAGCAGCTTAGGTGGGTCTTCTTTCGCCCGCTCTGATGATTGCTTTATTTGGCAGTTCAGGAATCTTTTCGTTGTAAGGGAATTCACATTCCCCGCTTCTCCCTAGCCTTCTGCCCACCCCCAACCTCTCATCAAACGACCGGTTTTTAATCATGAGATAATAGACAAGCCTCGGGTGACCTGCTTTTCCCCTCCCCCTGTTTTTCCTTGCGGTAAAATAGTGCTGAAGAAAGAGGGCACTAGCGTACAGCCCAGATAGCGTTCTCGCACCGTCTGGATTGGAGCGGAGGCGCCGGCGAAGCGCGCGCGCGGCCGCGGTCCCCTGGCCGCCGGACCCGAGCGTTGCCTACCCCGGCTCAGGTACGTCTCAATTCCAAATCCTCCGAACAGAGCCAGGTGAGCGGACACCTCTCCGCGGTGCAGCCCACCCACTGCGGCAGGACGAGTCCCTGTCTGTCGGATTCCCGTCCTGGGCCAGGCGCAGCGTCGCTCCTTTCTTTCTTTCACCCTGCGTCCCGGGGAGCGTTGGGACCCGTGGGTGCCTTGGTTGTCTTTCTCCCTTTGCCTCCTTCCCATCCCTTTTCTCTCTGTCGCCCGCGCCCAGGGCCCCTTTCTCATCGACTCTCACCTTGAGGAGAGAGGGACCCGGGGAGGGACGAGAGAGGGAGCCAACTTCACCCCTCAGGCGGCTGAGATTTGGCGCCTCTGCCCGCAGAGCGGTTGGGTTGGAACACACCTGCTGTACACAGGCTGTGAGGCTGCGAGAAGACAGTGAGGGCGGAGGGGGGGGGGTGTGTGCTGTAAAAAAAAAAACAAAAAAAAAACGCAGGGTGGTAAAAGAGCAGTGGGTGTCGGGGAAATTGAACTCACTGGGCCACACGTCCCTTCCAGGCAGGGTGTGGGAATGTCTGGGCGGCGGGCCGAGCACTGTCCAGGGTCCTGAAAGCGGCAAGGAAAGGCTGCCGCCGCGAGGGCCACCCCAAGCTCCCCTTCATTCCCTTCCTATCAACTATGCAAAGGCGAAAGGTCGGGGTTTCAGCGAGCGCAGCGGCCTCCCCCACCCCTTCCCTCTGTCTCGGGGGTGGGGGCAACTTACCCTGTCTGCACCCCTTCTCCCTGAGCATCTACATTAACCCTGACTTCTTGGGGGGAAACATATCAACATAGGAGACTTTAGCAGGCGTTGCCTTAGTAACTAATATGGATTTTCCTCAAGATGGCAAATTTATATTTACTACTTGGATTGCACATCAGGATCTCTCCAGCCTTTCAAAGTTAAAGTAATAGGTGCACCCCTCGCTCGCTTCCACCTTAAGGTAGCGCTTCCACCTGGGTATTGTCAGAGTTGAAATTCTTTCTTCAGGGAAAAGTTGATTTGTTTCAATTCGGGAAGTTCTCTTGGGTTAAACTGCCTCACTCCTCCCCTCCGCTCCCCACCGCTCTCCACCAAGTCAGTAAACGGGGTGGGTATTTGGGGGCTGACGAAACTCACAGGAGAGAAGGGAGCGGTCTGCACTGTGCGCTGCCTCGGACCCAGGCGGGCTCGGGGAGCAGGACACCCACCTTCGGCACAGACCCAAGCTGCTTTTGGAGCCGGCCCCCCAGCGCTGTCGCCATGTGCTGAGATGCACTGGAGAGGGAAACTATTAGCATCTCCGACCCTAGAGTTTTGACACAGTTCCTCTGATAACGAGACTTTTATTTTCTCCTTTTGTCGACAGCTGCCAGCTCACCACTGCAACCACGACGCCCGTTGTATCTTTGATCAATTGACCTTAATGCATTGGTGAATAAAGGGGGCTTGAATTCCCCCTCAGAACGCCTCCACGGCTTGGAGGCGGTCTTGGAGGACTAGGAGCAGGCGGTGGAGGGGAGGAGGCGTTGGTGGAGGCGGTGGACGAGCGGTGCTGGCCCTGGGAACAGCGGGCAGACAGAGGCGTCGGGTGTCTCGGCGGTGCGCGCCCACAGCCGGCAGGCGGGACCAGCGTGGGAACGCGGCGGGCTGGTGCGAACTGCGTCCTCGGCACAATGGTCGGGCTCGTCTGGGTTTTCTTCCCTGCGATCTTCTTGGAGATGTCCCTTCTCCCCAGAAGCCCCGGAAGGAGACTCTTGCTGGCAGGAGCCTCTTCTCAGCGATCGGTGGCCAGAATGGACGGAGATGTCATCATCGGGGCCCTCTTCTCGGTCCACCACCAGCCTCCCGCCGAGAAGGTGCCAGAGAGGAAGTGTGGGGAGATCAGGGAGCAGTATGGCATCCAGAGGGTGGAGGCCATGTTCCACACCTTGGATAAGATCAACGCGGACCCGGCGCTCCTGCCCAACATCACCCTGGGCAGTGAGATCCGGGACTCCTGCTGGCACTCCTCTGTGGCTCTGGAGCAGAGCATTGAGTTCATCAGGGACTCCCTGATTTCCATGAGAGACGAGAAGGATGGGCTCAACCGGTGCCTGCCTGACGGCCAGCCCCTCCCCCCAGGCAGGACTAAGAAGCCCATTGCAGGCGTGATAGGCCCGGGCTCCAGCTCCGTGGCTATTCAAGTGCAGAACCTGCTCCAGCTCTTCGACATCCCCCAGATCGCTTATTCCGCTACCAGCATCGACTTGAGTGACAAAACTTTGTACAAATACTTCCTGAGGGTTGTCCCTTCTGACACTTTGCAGGCAAGGGCGATGCTTGACATAGTCAAGCGTTACAATTGGACCTATGTCTCCGCAGTCCACACCGAAGGTAGGCATTGCATTTGGGAAAGAAAGGTACTGAGAAAGCCAGGGCGTTGTATGGTGGGCGCTTGGGACCACAGCATTGTCCCTATTTATTTCTAGCACTGTGGGGAACTGACTTTACCCTTTGCAGAAAAGGCCCACCAGGCACTGCCTTTTATCCTCATTCTGTAATTATAGTGTAGGAACACTGTATCCCATGGCGTTTCTGGAGATAGTTGAGCTGAAGAAATACCAAACTCACCATGCAAAGTCCACGACTGCAGTTTTTAGATGAATATGATTGTTCGCCCTCATGTTCTGAGTTTGCATTTGGAAAGCTTATTTGCTCCAGGTGCTATATCATCCTTAAGTGATTGGCTATGATTTTCCAAGTGTATAAGAGATTAGCACAAAAACAAAACAAAACAAAACAAAACAAAACAAAAAAAGAACACGTTCCACACTTTGAACTTGAAAACTTTATCTTGCCTTTAACAGCTGTAGGTATCTCTTTGTACTTGTGTAGCCCCTCTTACACAGCCAAAACTTTCCTGTGAAAATAGAATGAATGCAGTCATTTTGCTCAGTGTATCAGAAACCTCTATATGAAATTCTGTGGTGTCTTAGATAGGAAGGAAAAGTGTGTAATATAAATCATTAATTTTTTTTTCTTCCTAATATGTATGTTAAGGAGCTCTGGTGGTGCCATGGTTAAGGCATTCAGCTACTGACCAAAAGGTAGGCAGTTGGATCCCACCAGCTACTCTGTGGGAGAAAGATAAGGCAGTCTGCTTCCTGAAGATTTACAGCATTAGAAACCCTACGGAGCAATTCTACTCTGTCCTGTAGGCTGCTATGAGTAGGAATTGACTTGGTGGTGGTGTTTTTTATTTTGTTTAATGCATATGTTAAAATTATCCAGATACCCTTACTATGCCAAGAATTGTCTTATTTTATGGAAAATAGCTGTTAACCTCTTGGATTTTGGTTTCTCGTTTTTTTCCTTATAGCACAATGACTTTGCTCATTAGAATTTAAAGTTAGACTGATTATCAACTACTAACAAGATTGTCAGGTGTCAGGTTTTAAATGGCCTTCTAAAATGAAATAGATTTACCTGGGGTTAACAGCTTTCATTTTAACAGAGACTTATAGACTTGAATTCTCAAACAGTGTCTCATATGAAGGTTTTCTTTATCCTCCTCACCTTAGCCTATATAGAGTTTTGGTTTATATGAGACTTTTGAGGTCATCTAAGGAGCTCTGGTAGCACAATGCCTAAGACATTTGACTGCTAACCGGAAGTTTGGTGGTTCAAACCCATCAGCCACTTCACAGAAGCAAGACTGGGCAATCTACTTCCTTAAAGATTTACTACCTGGGAAACCCAGTGGGGGTCTCTATAAGTTAGAATCTACTTGATGGCAGTATTTTTTTTTTTTTTTTTTTGGTTTGAGGTCATCTACTGTTAGCTTTTTATTATGAAGGCACTGAAGCCTGGGTTACAAATTAGTGTCTGAGACAATTCATCTGTATGTGAAGACACATGGATGAGAATCTTGAGGGTATTTCTTGCTTTATTCATATGTCTTTAAATGAAATAATTAAAAGAAAAGGTATAGACCTGACTTCGTGTTCTTTTAGTTTTACACAATTTTCAGTTGAGTTCTAATGACAGAAATCAAGAAGTATTCTTCATGAAGTAGTGATATGGTTATTACTAATGAAAACTGATCGTTAAGTCTCTAAATGGAGCAGGGACTTCTGAGGAAACAAACAAAAGTAATGTCAAATTCTACATTATAATGTCAGACTGTATTTGAAAGAAACTTCCTTGAAATTTTTGACTTCTAACAACTGACTCATGTTCCTGAATTTTGATTTTTAAAAGTGAACTGTGTACTGCTTTTTTTTTTTAAAAAAAAAAAAGTCATTACTTTCTTAAGTATACAAATTAATGTTCAGATATTAATTTCTTAGATCTTAATGTTTAATGTACACTTCCTACTTTTAGTGTTTAATATAGTATTTTTCTAGTGCTTAGATGGAGCATAGTGAAAACCCAAGCTACAAATGTGCCAAAGTGTCACTGGAGAGATCTTTCTAAGAGGGAATGATAAAAGTGAGAGTGAATGTAATTTGTTTAAATATTTAATAATTCTTCCTCCATTGAGGCTGGTAATTGATTACTGATATTAGATGTTTAAATTCTTCTCTCAGGAAAAAATGATACTTCATTTTTATGCAGTAGCTTTCCCTCCATATTTCATTATAAGATTATTTTATTTCAGGGGTGGAGGAAGATGGTGGAAAAACTGAATTGTCAATCTGTTTTCCAATTGCACTACTTTGCCAAAAAAATGCCAGTAGTGGTATGTTTTTTGACAGCCAGAATTATGTTTTTGGAAAATTAATGTGACTTGTGTTTGCTACTTCGGTTAAGGCAGTGCCTGGATTAAAATTTCATCCTTGCATTAGTTTTGGTTACTTTGCTGCCTTCCTGCCTTCTGACTAGTGTTGTCTGGTAGAGATTATGTCTCCAAACTGTTACAATATTTGATTGAAGACTGGATTGTATTCGTAGAACCACATCAGTGCTAACTTTGGTGATTGTTTTATTGCCAAGCGCTTACACGATTTTTGCCTTGCCTTACATACGATATCTCATTCTTTTCAAAACAAATTTATTTCTTCTCTTATTTGACATAACAGCTGTGGAAACTAAAATGCTTTTATTATTACTATGTTTTAATCTGCAAAGAAGTATAACAGCCTCCTTTGAATCAGCTCCAACTGAAAATTCATTTGCCTGAGGTTCTGCCCTCCTGCTTCTAAGGGACCATAGCACACTGGCCCGCAGGCACTTTCTTGGATCATTTAGTAATTTTCCTGTCTTCAGAATGATGGGGTCACCTACTGGTGACAGTTCTCTGTCAAAAAGCAGCTAAGACCACACTGTGGTGTTGTCTCTGCCATCTGGGCACAATTCAGTAAGGAATCCAGTTTGTCTGGATTTTGACCATTTGGTGCTAAGAAAATCTGGGACCTCTAAATGACCTTCACCTCTCCTTTTGAAATTAGCCATTCCTTAGTGAATATATCTTCACTTTTTTTTTTTTCCAATGAGAAGTTAACATAGTATAGTCATTATCAAAAGAACTAAGTTACTAGATAAGTGTATCTTGATTTCTATTATTGTTTGGCTTCTAAAATCATAAATATGGCTTCTTATGTTTTCAGTACCTCAGGTTGTAGTTATATTCTTTTATTATTCCATTTTATAGTTATATGGTTAACACACAGAGACACAGACACATAGATAGTTAACCTTGGAGGTAATTTTGTATTTCTATTTTACCAGTAAAAATTTAGTTTTTATATCCCTTTTTATTCTTTCCAATCTTCTACTACCTCATTTGTACCATACTTGTTCTGTGGCCATGACAACTGTCAGTATCTTTGACATAAAAGAGAATCTTTGCACATGCAGTTACCTGCAGTAGGATTGGTTCCTGAGGGTCAGCAAAAAAGGGGAAAACCTTTAATGAGATGAACTGACACAGTGGCTGCAACAGTGGGGTCAAATATAGCAACGATCCTGAGGATGGTGTGAGACCAGGCAGTATTCTGTTGTACAGAGGGTCGCTATGAGTTGGAACTGACTTGAAAGTACCTAACAACAACAGCAACAGCAGCCTGAAGGAAATGAAGCAAGAGAGCTTTATCAACAAATAAAATTCAGATACACTTCAGAGCAAGCTGCTCACCTGGAACATGTGTCTTTAAATATGCTTAGCATAGAATTCAAAAATAGCTGACTTCCAAGAAGAGTATCTCAGCCAAGGACACCTTAGTCTATCCTGATAAAATGCAGATTCTCCATCAAAAAGCAAATTTATAATTTAAAAAAGTTGTAGAAGATAGTACTTAAAAATAATTCTAGTTCATTAAATTAGAAGTTTTAAACTTGATTTATAAACGTTTTCTTAGAGTTCGTGGCTTATAAAAAATTTGTTTTTGAATGAGCAAATTTTCTTTTATTTTATGCCCTTCTCTTTTAGTGTTTTGTCCTGAGTAGTCAGATGGGTATTACTATGATAAGGGATCTGTTGACACTGCTTTCCTTCTGCAGATATTTACATCAAGATGGCTTTTTATTTGCAGTTTTACTTTCATTGATAGTGTAACTTTCTATGATATTTGCTTACACTTTATATGATTTTGCCCTTTTGAGTTTCTTTCAAAAATCCAATCTTTTAAATTTTTTTTTTACAATTACTTTTTATCTTGATTTGGTGAAAGTTTACAGAGCAAACTGATTATCCATTCAACAATTCATGCACATTTTGTTTTGTGACATTGTCTGCAGTCCCCACAATGTAACAGCACTCTTCCACTACCACCCTGTGCCCGGTGTTCCCATTCGTCCTTTTCTGCTAACCCTTCCTGCCTTCTGAGCTTTATCCCTGGGCAAATGCAATCTTTTTGATCTCCTATGGTCAATTGTTCCAAGGAGTTCTTTCTTTCTTGGTGTTATTATTCACCTTATAGAACTCTCTATTGTTTGGCTGAAAGTTGAACCAGGGGGATCAGTGCAGTTCCAGGTATCTAAAGGCTGTTGTTGCTATGTGCCCTCGAGTCAGACCCAACTCATAGTGACCCCCTCCTTGGGTTTCTGAGATGGTGTCTCTACTGAAGTAGATTGCCCAACCTTCCTTCCGAGGAGGGGCTGGTGGGTTTGAACTGCCAGCCTTCTGGTTAGCAGTCAAGTGCCTTAGGCACTATGCTACCAG